GAAAAGTTTAACAGTCAATTCTTCTGCCTGTGAATCACCCTGCCTAAACAGCTCAGGAACATTTTAACTGGCCCTGAAAAGGTATTCTGTAATTTTTAACAGAGTAAAAAGGAAAAAAAACTTAAACAGGGAGGGGTAATAGAATCAGATAAAGAAAAAAGTGTAGGCTGGATATCGGGAAAAATCTGTAATAATATATTAAGATTTCAGGGAAACAGAGGAATATCCTTGATTAAATGAGATAAGATCCTTACCAGAGGGAAATTAAGGACAACTTCACATTATCATGGAGATGAAGTCATCTCTGTGTTTGGGTCTTTGGGACAACTCAGTCCTAATGAAAACCACGGAATTCGTGATTATCAGCTCAGGGTTTGTTTTATTATTTTGCTATTTTTATTTGTGGACAGAAGAGCAACAACAATATTTTGTTAATAAACAATGTCAAAACTGCATCCTAAAATACCACCAGGATGTTGGTAGAAAAACAAGGCTGCTTTTGTTTTTTACGGTGCATAATGCCTGATGGGTTTTAACCACAGTTTAGGAGCTACTGTTAAAAAGCTTCTTGCTGAGTCAAGCCTGGGCATGCTGTTTACTAGGGTTAGCCCTGAAGGCTCTTGCATTGGCAGGGACTTTTAAGCTGAGCTAAGGAGTTTTCAGTTATTTTTGTTGTGATTTAAATAATAATAATAAAAAGGTAAGCGTGTAATCACCTCCCGTACCTGCCAGCAACTTTCCTCTGGAGTCAAGGGCTTGGTCTTGCAAAGCTGATGCTGTCCCCTTAGTTTAAAGCAGAGACCAGGCCCCAGTGGATTAGTGGATTTTTGTGAAGTTCACTAAAATACAAAATACCCCTTTTATTAGAAAAGGACCTGTACCAACTTATGAAGAGAATTTCTCTGGTTCAGCTTTGAGCCTGCACACACCTGGCTGATGACTTTCACTCAAATAGTGCTGACCTAAAACCAACAGTGAAGAGTGAAACTCTGACAAATCAATAAAAGCTGCATGCAGTAAATGCATGCAAGACCCACCACTGCTCTTCCACAGAGCCTAGGCCATCCTGTGCTCTGGAAGAGAATATCACAGGGAAAAACAGTATGTGGCTCTGTAATTTGATCCTGAGTCTCCAGAATAATGCAGAACCTTCACATTTATTTTTCTGTCTTTTCTTAGCCTTTGAGTCTTGTAGTATTACTTACTGTTAAATGAATGTTATGTTGTGGAAGTGTTGGCTCATACAATTTATATGCACCAATACAATTTCTTTTATTCATTCTGCTCTAGTTCTACATTCCTGGAATAAATGTCATCACATATTCAGTTTCACTCCAATGTGCATTGCATCCTTTACAGTATCCACTGGACTCCATCCCTGCCTCTCCCTCTATCCTCTGTATTACCACAGCCACACAATCATTGCAGTCCAGGACAGTATCTTGAATCCACAATATTCCTGTTGGTTTGCACTGCACAGAGCTCAAGGATCATCTGAATGGGATACTTTATTTTTCTAGACAAGCCAAGCAAGCACCACGATTCTGTCAAATTGTTGTAAATGCCAAGGAAAAAAGTCCAAATATTAAAGATGTCCAAAAAATTCACCACCAAATGAGTAAAACCAGCAGTGGTTTTACTGAAAATTGGGTCATCCTAATGACTGGAGAAACACCAAAACAATCTCTAAAAGCAGACTTCAAGGAAACCCCAACACAATCTGCTTCTGAACATATATAATAAATCCTCAGTGATTTAGAAGAAGACTCAAGTCCTGAAAATTATTCGTTATGCTGCTTAACAAGAAAATCACTGAGACACAAGGAATGACAACACTGAAGAGAAACACAGCAAGTCTTTTTGGCCTGTCTTGGCACGGGGGTCCTTTTTTACGCAAGTTTTTCACATTCCCATCTATGTTTCCAAGCCAAGGGTCCCACAGGTGGTTCTGCTCAAGAGAGCCTTGCAGATGAGCTCTCTCCAGTTGAGATAAAATAACGTATGTTCTCATTAGTCCAAATGCAAACAGTGATGAAGGGGAATGCACTGCCAGGTCACAATGAGCAATCAGGAAACAAACCTTTGACATAATACAGCAGGCAGACAGTAAGACCCCATAGTTAGCAACAAATAAGAATGCACTTAATTTGCTGTGCAATGTTCACATAATTAGATAAATTTGGTACCATCAAGACAGCAGACAGGGAGAATATAAACTTGATGAATTGGGGGCTCTCTGTCAGGCACCAATCACATTAATCATAAAGCCAAAACTCAGTGACGCAATTTTTCTTCCAAACATTTGCCATAATTTTCTAGAGTGAAAATATGTCCTTAGGGTTTTTTTACAGGTTGTTTACTTTTGAAACAAGAAGGATTGATTTCTGCACCACCAGGATGGAGTACAAACTTCTAGAAGCTCATCTGTGCCCACAGAGTCTACCCAGAGTATTGAACAAGAGCCAAGCAACCACCAAGTATGTTCTAGCCCAGGTCTACCACCATGTCTGGATGACTTCACACCTCCAGCAAGGAGGGTGAGTGGTAAGTTGTGACCTCCAGAGCAGAGACTGGAGGAGAGAGAAGAAAGACAAAAGAGAAGTAGAATGAAAAACAAGAGGAGTAAAGGGCAAGACATGATTTTAAGATGTTTGCAGACAAAATTTGGAGAGGAGAAATGGTTGAGAGACCACAGTGGCAGAGAATTTTCCCAGTGTGGTTGTGCCATAGTGCAGGGTACTTGACAAACAGCTAAATGGAAGTGGCATTCCCTCGACCCTAAAAAAATTGCCACTGCCAAGAAGCACTTGGCTGCTCAGTGTTGGTGCTTCCCTGGCCACAAAGGCACCTTTCAGTGCAGTGCCCAGGTAGTTTCAAAGAGCACTATGTTTGCTCTTTAAGACCCGCAAATGAGTTTTCTCTCCAGTACCTTGCAAGTTGGTTTTGTGAGAGGAGCTGCTGGGAACCAGAGGAATCCCAAGGAAGAAATGCAACAGGTATTTGCCAACAACTCTACCCAAATACTAAGCAGGACACACTTGGCCCACTGATAGACAAATGTGGTTAACTGCTAACACAGTAGCTTATTAATATTGGTGCAGATGAACTGAAACCTGATCTGCCAGTGCTGTACACTTGGCCAGGGTTGACCAGCCGGATAACACGGATAACAATATGGAAAACACTGGGGTTGCTGGGGATATGATTCATAGGTAGCATCAGTGGCAAGTCTCGGTTGCATTCTGTAGAAGACCTTGCCTCATGACCCCACCACAGAAACTGCTGTGGAGTCCCAGGGTATATGCAGTGTCCCCAAACCTCCTTGTGAGGATTGAAGGGGAGCACCGAGTGGGGCACACAAATAAATTGTGACAAACATCAGAACATCTGCCAGCCTCTAACCATTATTTTAAATATCACCCTCTTCCATACGTGCTTTATTAGCCAGAGCTCTGGCTTATTACCTATCTCCCAGCAAGTTATTATTCTGTCTTTTTTTCTACAATTTTTCGCATGAAAGGCCAGAACTATTTCATGCATCCTCCCTAATCCCCCCCAGTTCCCACGTTAGCAACCTGCTTTGTCATTTCCCCTTTGCACACAGCATGGAAGAAGCTGCTCTGCCTCTTTAAACATCCAGTCAAACTGTCAGCCAAAAAGACAATGACTTATCTTCTGGTAGGATCCAGGGGAACGCTCTATCACTTATTTCTTGCAGTATTTTGGAAGCAGAATAAAGCTGTAGTAGCTGTGGGGCTCCACAGATCTGGCTGCTGCTGTTTGCATTACTTGCTTCCCAGCTTCTGTTCCCCTGCTCACACCTATCCAGAAGCAGCACAGCTCCACAAAAAGCCACTGCAAAGCTGGGTGAGCACAGCCCCTGGCCTGACAGCAAGGCTGCAACAAGACTCCAGGGGATGAAATGAGAGTTTTTTAAGTGATGAGACCTAGCTGTTCTTTCCTTATTCTTCTTGCAAAATGATTCTGCCCTTCAGTGGTTCTCCTGCACTGAGTGCTCTGGGACCTGTCCCTCAGCCAATGTCTGAGCCCTATGTTACAGCTGCAGGTTGAAGGATTTTGGGATGGCCGTGGGACTGCCAACCCCATCACACTGCTCCTCACCTCTCATGAAAAAGGTGCATGTCAGGGACTAGAAGAAACACTTCCAGCCCCATGGTCACTAGAACCTGTGCTCACATCCCTGCTGGCTCCATTTTCCTTGCCCTGATCAAAGCTTACAGGAGGTAAAATCAGATCTCTCTGTAAACATCTCCTTCAAGACATCAAGAACTATTGAGCAGCCATGTCCTGGATGAAGAGATTAACTGCAAACTCCCCTCTCAGGGTGTAGCCCCTGACCAGTCTCTGTGCTTGCTCACTGCCCATCAGCTGTCTCAGAGAGAGAAGGCTTTCATGAGAAAGTCACCAAAACCCAGAGTCCTGCCCCTCCAGGGTGGACATGTACACCCCCATGAGTACCTGACTTATTACTGCTTTTAGAAAAATGCCACCAGGGTATTTGGGCTGTTGTCCAGTGAAATCAAACTGGATTATGGCATTCCCGGCAGCCTTTTGCCACCATTCCCACAACTGGCAGGCAGGGAGGAATGGTACACAAGATCTCCAAAGAGAGGGAGCAGTGCCAGGTCTTTGCCAAGATGGTGACAGAAATGACCCAGGCAAGGCATGATGTAAGAAACACAGCGGGTGCAAAAACCCAAGTCAAGCCTGTTCCCGGGACCTGAGCTGAATAATGACAAAGAAGCCCTATACTCCCATCCTGCTGCTACAGGGCATTTCTGTAGGCTTAACAGAGCCGTAAAGCCCTCCTGCCAGGCAGGTCAGCATTGTCACTGGATGGGGACAATGAGGTGGAGGGCGGCAAGTAGAGACAGCTTGCCAGAAGGACAGTGAGTCCCAGGGACTTTAGCAGTGGGATTCAGAATACTGCAGGTGGCTGACATTTTAGCAAGGCACAGGAGTGGAGGTGTAAGACTTACCCATGGATAGCGTGGATAGAGTGAGGTTCATAATGGTATCGTCCTTCCTGGTGGCGCATGTCAATTGGCAAAGGAGCGTGGAAGGCCGGAAAAATGTGCTGCGGCACTGTTATGGGGAATAGAAGAAAAAAAAAAGGGACTTCAAAAACTTTTCCTTCCCTTTTAAAACAATTTCAAAGGCACTAAATCTCCATGAATTTCAGAGCAAGAGCAGTGCAAGACAAGGGGTCTTCATGATATCAGCGCTATCATACACCAGAGAAGTGGAATGAATAAATAATCAAAGTCATGCGGAAAAATCCTACATCTTCGACATAAAAGATCTCCAACAGGGTTTTTGACAAAGACAAGCAGCTAAGCGCTCTTTGAACTTGAGGAGATTATAGCAAGCACCAAGGAAAACTAGACTTGCAACGCAAATCAGACTCAACAGAGCCTGGTGGGATCCAGACCTGCATCGTCCCTCAAGCCTGGAGTGGCAGCAAACACTGTTCCTGAAGGTCTGTACACACAAGTTGGAAATATTTACCTAAAAATATAACAGCAAGAGCAGCGCTAAAGCAGAATGTCTAGGCAGTCAGAAGAGGCTCAGAAGTGCCTACTGCCAGGTTCTGAGAGAGGAGCTCAAATTGCTCTCACTTGTAATCACTTGAGGCCCTATTTTTTATTCATTTGAGAAGCTTGTTTCATCTTTGATGGAATGATAAAGTGGTCTCAAAAGGCAGCGAACACCTACATTGACTTATTAAATCTACAGGTTTTAATATTTATTATTGACCCCAAAAGTTAACGGCAAGAATATTTGAGTGAGTTGAGCTGATGGAAAATTCATCAGGTTATTTCTCCTCACCACCCCCGACAACGCTGCCTGGCCGCCTGGGCCTTTCCTGCTAAAATTACTAAGAAGCTAAAGAAATAGAATTAGCAAAGCCTGGATAGCGATACCGCACAACCACAAGAGCGATCCTGTACAATCACCCTCTGACAGGGCTCTGCGCATCTGTAAAGATGCCCCTTCCTACATCTGTGGCAGCGACCAGCTTAAAGATAAAAGGTTGGTCTTGCTCTGCCTTTACAGTCAGAAGTTCTTCATTAAAGATTACTTAATATTGTTGCAGGTTTTACCATTCTTTCGCTGGCTTCTTGGTCTTTCTGTCTAACTGGAGACCAAAAATAAAACAAACCCAACCTCCTAAGTGAGCAATTCAAAACCCAGCCTGTGCTCAGCATTTCACTGTGACTTGCCTCCGCGACAGGTACCATCTCTCTGGAGACTGGGGAAGCACCGTCCAAAACCAAAGTGTCAAGGCTTGGGCCAAGTCTCTCGCTGTCGCTCAGCAAACTTCAGAAATGCCAAACTCTTTTTCTATAAAAGACTAAAAATTCAGCCTTTTGCATCTGTGAGTCCAGCTGCACCAGAGCTACGCCGACTCTGTCCGGTGGGGCTGCTCTCTGCTCGGGTCCGTCGCGCAAAGCCTGCGTGTAATCCTCATACACGTCCTTCCCGGCATATCAGCAAGAGGATCTGCAGCTCCTACTCCCATTGCAGCGCTCGATCCCTGAGCACAGCGCGGAACAGGCGCGTCAGCCAGGCTGCTGGGAGAGGTGAGAGACTACACAAAAACAACCCTCCTGCCAACTCTGCTGAAAGGCGTTATGCTAAGGTTGTCGGGGTGGAAAGTATTTAAGGCTCCTCAGCAGACTTGCTCTCCGTGCTCCAGCAAAGGGCTGGCACCTCACACTACCTGATACACTGGGAGCATTTTTGCAGCTCGCCTAATGTCAGGACACAGTAGAGTAACTGTTAACCACCTCCCCCGCTCCTGCCCCCCCTCCCCTCCTCTCCCAAAAGCAGCCCAGGGAGAGAATGAACTTGGATCCTTCAGAATTTGCTTTTGCAGGAGGAAGATTCAGCCTTTAACTGTTCTGGGTAGGGACTATCTGTTACATAAGGCCACTTGCAGGGAGTCTTCGTTTTAAGAGGCAACCAGTGTTCTTCCAGATAAATACACCAGAGTTTAGCTGTCACACCCCATCCCCTGCTCATACAGCACAGTAAAGCCTCTGGTCTCCCCAAACTATGCTCAGCTCAAACTCCAGCCTAGGCTGGCAGACACCTCCCGGTGCTGTCCTTCTCCCTGGGGACACTGCTGTTCCCTGGCCACAGCTGCTGCCACAACCTACGGCTTGCTGTGAGGACCAGAGGGAGTTCAGCTTTTAGATCATCACATAAAAAGCATGGTCACAAAATCAACTGTCCCTGAACAGACATCCAGTGGTAGGGAATACAAATATCTCTTCCAGCCTGAGCCCCTAGGCTGGACTTCCTGCAGTGCTCACCCCATAGTTATGCTGTGCAAATAAACCAAAAGGAGCAAGAAGACTTCTGTGGTCCTGGGATCAACCCTAAGTGCTGTTGCTGGCATCTCTATAGGTGAAGATTAGCAACCTCCCAGAACAGGGTGGTCACTCTGCCTCTAATGGACAGGTCTGGGGCTGAGTTAATCCCCAGAGTGCAGGAAGTGACAGCTGACCTAGGCTGAAACCGTACAGGCCATTGCAGCTGAGTTTTAATGATGTGGAGAGTCACCTTAATCCTTTGGCCTGTTCCCTAGGGCAATTTAATTTATTAATAATGATAAAACTACTAAAACCAGGTAAGACTGAATATCTTAAAAGTCAGGCCAGCTATGTTTTATTTTGTACCTATACATTTCTACCTGATTGATTGCTGAGATAATACTGGAAATTTCTGTGCAAAAAGAGTTTCTCCTTGTCACTCAGGAGAGCTGGGAAATAGAAAACACAGGCTGTTTGCTGTCTGGCCTCCTTTCCTAGCTATCCTGTTGGTATAAAATTGACATCTGAAGAGAATTTCTCCTTCCTCATACTTCTGATTATTAATGGGAGAAAAATTTCCATGAACGTCTTCCTTCCCATTGCACTCTTGGTTTGTTTTCAGCATTTCAATCTATTTGGCCCATGGGAAGCTCAGCAATGCCTCTGCCTTGGGTATCTGTTTCACACGCCCAATTCCAACCCCACCACGTGCCCTGTGCTTTGCTACCACTAAGGGCAAGGGTAAGGGGTTTTTTTGACATCCTTTTGCAACATTTCCCTTCATGACTTCCCCTCTGCTTCCCTGCCTGGGAGCACCAGTGAAGCCTACGGGCTCCAGTGGCTGGTGCTGTTCATTTTTATTCTCTTCCAGGTGCTTGGTCAGAAATAATGAATGGTTTTATAGGCAATCAACTACCAATTCATAAACGTCAGCCTGGCTCTGCTTCTTGTTCCCACCCCTCCAGAAGAGGACTGTGAGCTGGCAGCAGGACAGCAACACACACTGTTAACAAAGATGGATGTTTTACACATACAAGTTAAAAAGACAATTATATTCAATTACTTCAAGTAAGTTACGGTGATGTATTCCTGAATAGCCACTCGAAGGGCAATATGATGATTAGGGCAATGAATTTGCCAACTTTAATCTAATCAAGGCAATCTTTTGTTTAGCATTATCTGCTTTGCAGTGGCAGAGGATTTACCAAACCCAAGCAATCTTTGTGGATTTAACCCCAAAGGTGCCCAATTAGAGCTAATGATGATTGCTTTACACAAGAGGGAGGGAGATTTTAGTAGGAAGCCCGGGGAAAGCTTTTCCCCAGGAAAAGGTTGGGCTGTACCAAGCCATGCACTACAATACTCTGAGGTGCAAAGGCACGACATGGCACTTCCGAAAGTCCCCAAAAACTGGAACCACAGGTAAACATTTTCTCTGGTTCTTGCTGAAGGAAGAGAAAGCCGAAAAACACATCAAAAGCAGCACCCAAGGGGCAGGGACAATGAGAGAACAGCGTGTTTTGCACAGAAACTACAGAGTTCCACAGCAAGTCGGTGGCTCATCTCCCAGAGTGAAGCAGGGCGGCAGAGCACAAGGCACACGGGGCAGTCCCACCTTCCACCCCAGCGGGGCTTCTGCAGGAATGTGGCTGCTCCGCAGAGCCATTGGATAAGGGGGAAGACGATGATACCTGTCCCCACTTGTCAGAGCTGATTTTCTGGCCAAGGTTTATGAGCAAGACAGGGACCTCCCACTGCTGTGTTCTCATCCTTGTCTATTCAAAGGCCAGCCAACCCTCTGGCTTCAAAGAAAAAAGATAGGAGGGAGAAATGCAGGTTTAAAGGGGATGTCCCTTTGCTGAAAATCTCAGGAATCAGGGAGGGAGGCATCAGAAACAGCCCTTATTTGAGGATGATGCAGGCTTTTGATTATCTCCGCAGATACAAGAGAAACACAGACTGCCTGTATGGGTTTGCAGGGTGAGCAAAGGAGCTGTTTTGACATCACTCACAGCAGCACCTTCTCTTGAGCTCAAAAGTGAGAACTAGGAAGGGTCTAGTAAGCTTTTCGAATTCCAAATACTTCAGCTTACACACGTTTGCTAAAAAAAAAAAAAAAAGAAATCAGACCCCACGGCGCTGAAGTGGGTTTTGCAGTTTGCTTTGACAAAAACAATTCAGAAAGCCCTTGGGAAAGGATTTAAAGAAGCTGTCACTTGCAACTGGGGTGCTGCAACAAGGCTGGCTGGGAAGAGACCCTGAGAAACCCCCCACATCCTTGGTACCACACAGGATGTCCTGCTTTATCTGAAGCACATGTAAGTTGTGCAGGCTGCCATATGGGCTAAAAAATATACAGCTTTCCTATGGATGTCCAAGAGTCTCCTGGGGAAACAAGCAGTCCAGCCTGTAAGTAGACTTCTTTGCCATCAGAAATAGTGCATATATATTTTGCAATCAACAGTGAAAGTCATTTGTTGAGGAAAAAAAGTAAAATATCACTGGATAATTCAGTACCTGTTGTGCTTTTCTCAACAAATTTGCAAAAAACACCCCATAAAACCAAACATGTTATAAAAGAGGAAACACAAATTCTGATTTCTTGAGATGCCCTTTAGTTTGATTTCCTATGGAGTCAGTGATGCATGGGACAGAGCTTTCATAAAGGGATCACAAGCTCCCTTGCAAAGAAGAACAAAGCTTCACCTCCCCTTAGGAAAGGAAGAAAACATGCATTTGAAACACAGCCCTGTTTTCTAACTTGAG